TGCCGATATGAGTGATCATCAAGGATCCCTCAGGTGTTTTGGGGCCCTCAAACATTTGCCTGGTTTGCCTCTCCTGATGGTGCACCACTGGGCACCTGGAAAGGTCCAGTAAAAAGTCCCTACCTAATGTATGTCAACATATGTGCATGCTCTCTCCTCGTTTCGACCAGTGAACTTCTCAGGTCATGTGGCCAGCTGCCTGCAGTGGTGGAAATTTTGGTTCGAAATTAAATTTGGTTATCATTGCTTACATTTAGGATGAACATCATTATAGCTAGACTCCATGGACCCCACTGGTGGCTGGGTCCCGCAAATCTTTCCCTTCTTTTCCCCCTTATGTTCAGCCCTGCCAGCACACACTATGTACCTGACTCCAGAATGTAATTTAGGAAATGTGGTGCAGCCACAATGTGTCATATACAGACAGGATGATGGTCTGTCCTGTTGCCCCACTTTTTAATGATTAATAAGGTATATTTTACACAAAACTCTTGCCTTGTGCAGGGTTAAATGAGCAAAATGAGTTAACTTAATTTTGTGGAGAGGAACTGTCTCGGTGCCATGAACACATGGTGTCCTAATTAAGGATATTGATCGAGCTGGAGCGGCAAAGCTCTTCATTTCCTTAAAAGCCTCGGACCCCCTGCTGATTGGGATGTGTCTCCAGACAGCAGCCTGTCCACCGTTTAACATACACGCACACACACACACAAACACACACATCCTCACATACAGATACAAATAGAGTTGTATGTATCTTAATTGTTGGTAGGAAGAAACCTAGTAAAAGAAAGGCTACTACACTGTCATGGTTGGACTAACTGTCATGGCCCACCACCACAGCGCAGGCATCAGAGTAGCTGGGACAAGATTTGGAGCCTTGCCGGTTGCAGTCCTCATTATTGGAGCCCATACAGGTGAAACATCGCAGAGCCTCACCTGGAGGAAACAGAGAAGAAAACCTGCCACAGTGGACACTTACTAAAGCAGTGAAATCAAAACATCATGGCATGTGGGCGAAACAGATGTAAGTCTCTAAAGCGTAGTTTCATCTTGGTGTATGTAGAGAGCATTAAAGATGTCACTACATGAAAAAAAAACATGCCTATACATACATATAGTTTATATAACAGCGTGTAAATGACAAGGAAGTCATGTAGAAATGTTATTAAACCAGACCAGACTGCTACTGGAGCACATTTACATGAAATCCAGCACCACGGTTTTTAAATGCCAGCTGTACAGTATGTTATTCTTTGGCTGATCTGGTGTTATTGCTTCAGCTGATGGGAACTGATTGTGATGCTAATGTAGGATTTTCCAGCAAATAACTCAAATTAATGAAAAAAAGGCACCCTATGTCAGATGTATTGACTTTTTCCAGACACGATTTGGCTACTTAATGCTGCTGATGTTACTGCTGCCACGCTTGTCTTTTAAAAACCCATATTTAGACACTGGTACAAGTGGCTGCAGCTGCTCTGGCATGGTTGAAACTGCATTACATTGTGGCACACTCAAGCTAACTCTGTCCCATTTATCATGAATTTCACTCTACAAGGGCCTCAGATGTACCCTTTATTAACACAGGATCTATGGGTTTGATGAGTGTGTACACAAATTCACATCTGCATGACTCTGATGCGTGACATTGTCCCACAGGCAGTGAGAGTAAAGTGAAGATAGAGTGCTCATTAATCGCTTCGTTCACAAAAGTATTCCCTAAATCAAGCAAAGATTTAGACAAGCGATTTAAAAACACATCTTTCTAACCTTCAGCTAAAGCTTCAGGGGCCCACTTCAGCGTATAAAACACTTAAATGTCTTTCTAAAACTCTCCAGAGGAAGGAGCGCTTATTTGAGAACTAGCTGACCTTTGAAATATCACTTTAACGCTCCCTTTTGAAAACCTCCATCGTCTCCTAAATTCTAAAACAGCCCTTCATAAGCAGCCTTTAATGCTGCTTCCTAAGAAGATCAAACCGAGCTATAGGAATCACCATATGCTTTATACAGATAGCAGCTTATCTCTTGTCTTGGCCATCATCATAACCTCCTTCAACACACTCAACTTGTCTTTTATCTCCTGTTATGATGGAGGGAAGAGAGAAAAATGTTCAGACACACAGTGCTGTCTCCATTAAGGTAAAGACCAGATAAAATTTTCTACTAAAGACAAGCAAATCAACTTAATGACACATTGCTAAAATATGAGACTTTTACTGATGGAGGCAACAAAGAGAACAACAAACCAACATTTCTGGTATGAATTTGAGAAGCTGGTCTCATTTCTTTGCTTCCCTTGTGCCCCTCTGTATGTTTACATGGCATGTAAATGCTCCCTGCTGTTCGTAGTTGACCCCAATCTATCCCCACAGCACAGCCACTCTCCACACATGCTAGAAGTATTAGCCTCCAGGCCTATTAAGAGATTAGTTGCTGGGATTGCATGCTTGTTACAGAGGAGAGTGGAAGGCTGAAGGAAGGCAAAACTCAGGAGCATTACCAGAGAAATTAACAGCAATTAGCAAAGATGACATTATAATACAAAGTGTTACTGTAAAATTGCTTTATAAAACATGCCTGAAAAAATAAAGTTAACTGTGATTTTGTCATTTTCTGCCTGTCCTGATGTCCGACAGCAAAGATAGACTGGGCAGTTACTCAACAGGTCCCTGCCTCTCAGGGAAAGACAGAAAAACAACAAATACATACTATTCTTGGGAATTCAAGAGATTCAAGGGAGAAGACACCAACAAAAACAGGTGGACAAAGGGTATAAGGGAGATCTAAATGGGGGGAAAGGATGAGGTAAAGACAGAAAACAATAACTCCTTACTGTTGGTTGCTAGCAGGACCAGAGAAAACAGGAGCAGTGGACAGTACTGGACAGCTCTCATGGAGTTGGTGGTCCTCACTCGTCCTGATCACACAATGAAAAGCAGGTTGTTTGCTCCTAAAGCCCCCTGAGCTTAATCTGAGCTATCAGATGAGCTAATATCCCCTCCTGTACTGACCAATAGATTAGCAGCCCCTCTACTGGGGCCCACAGCTTTGTGCTGAGTGTCAACAGTTGCTGCATCTCCTGGATGGGCAGTAGGACTCGTCCTGTACCTCTCACCTCACCACTGTGCTCTGGCCACACCCAACCTGAGTCAGGCTCTTGTCCCTGTCTCCACCTGGGCCAGCCCTTACATCAGCCTGCTGCAGCACCTGATCACCATCTCTGAGCTTTAACTGTCTCAGGATGCCTGTTGTCCTGTGATGCTTGTTTGTTTGTGTGAGATGTAGATGCCTTAATTCCATAGGGATGTACTTGATGTAAAGCTGTATCTATTTAAGATTGACATTTGGAAAGATTACCTCTGTATATGGAGTTACAAATAACTATATTCTACATTACAGTTCCAAGAGTGGCAGTAAATCATTTTAGGTTGGCTGTCATCTGTCTCAGTAACACTGCTGCTCTAAAGTTGTTATACTTGTTGCTGCCATGACACAATATTGCTATAAAAAGTTAATTTAACATTGCACAGCTCTGTCAGATAAAGTCAAGAACTCCGTTAGTGAATCCATTCATCATGTTCTAAAAATGGTCTTTCAAATGGATTTTATCACCTTTTGTTGTATAGTGACAACATAAACACTCAGTAGCTCTCAACAGTCATGACAACACTGACAGCGTTTGAGGAGCCAGACTTTGGTGTCAGTTCTGTTGCAAATCGTGTCTCTATCTAGCAGAGGCTGAGATGCAGTTGCTGGACAAAAACATGATCTGTATGGAGAGCAGTAACAAGGAAAACAAAGACGCATATCAAGATATAAAATGTCAGTAAGCATCACGTATTATGCATTTTGTGATCTGGAGGAAGGATATTGCAGTCAAAGTTGAAACGACAAAGATATGATGGGCTAAAGTGTGATTTGCAGTGCCCACCCCGTTGACTCCAATAAAACCGAAACCAAAGTCTGGCTCCCTGAAAACTCTCACCGCTGTCGTCATGACCATTCCTTCTTTTATATTTTCCCTGGTAGCTCACAGAAAATAAACAGGGACCTGCCCGAGCACCAGAATAGCAATGACGCCTGTTCTTTTCATATAAGACAGAGTGATCCTGAAATTGTTCAAGGTTTGCATTCATGCTACTGTCACCTTGATTGAAAGAGGTTGGATTCTGAACCATTTATCCATTACTTTTAGTCAAGGGTGTAGTTTTTCTTTCTTTAAATTTACATATGTGGGGACACATATTCAGCTGGGGGCCTCCCCACAGAAATTTTGAGCATCAAACACTTCATTTGATGCATTCTGGTGAGTTTTATGCACAATTTTCTGCATCAATGGTTTCTCCTGCTTCAAGTGGCTCGTTATGTTTTATGGCTAACTGCAGCCATTGCTTTTGAGGTAGCCATAGTTGCATTTATGAGTTCCATTTTAGTGGTTTGTCAAAATTAAAATCTTTTACTACTTTCATGTTTTTGGGAAGGGGACAAATGCACGTGTTCTAAATATTAAGGGGGATGTGTCCCCTGTGTCCCTAAAATCTACGCCTATGCTTTCAGTGATCTACCGCATTCCAACATCTCTGAACTCAATAATCATAACACTTGGTGTGAAGCATCTCTTGTGCAGTTATCGTAGCTGAGGCAATAAATATGCATAAGATCTACCTCACAGTAATTTCTTCTATTTGTGTTTATTTCCCTCCCAAACACAAATAGGTTTTGCTGAAATATACATCTTTATCAACATAATTTCTATTTTTTCAAATGAGCATTTTTCAAATCAAATGTCTATAATGCTTTTATAGTGCATCATATACACATAAGAAAGATCACCTGTGCATGTGTGTGTTGTTTCCTTAGACACTGACTGGAGCCAGCACAATGTCAAATAATCCTATCCACATCCTAATCCTGATTTATCATTGGTCATGCCAAGTCAGCTAAACGCATGAGAAGACAAGTCATGCACGGAAAGAACTGGTGTGAACCCAGAGTGCTGTATTGCCAACTTTTATTGCACTTTGTAAGCAGATGCTGTACAGCAGCTGTGCAGAGAAGTTATTCCTCAGTGTGACACAACGAACCATAGCAGAACTAGGACATAACCCATCCAAAATTAAATTACTCCTGGTCACAACTGAATACAGTAACGATTAGTTTGCTTTATATCAAAATTAAATCCCAAAAAATAGTCACACGATTTCATCAAGAAAGCTATGACAAGTATGACAAATATCTACAAGGTTACATGACGGATATGGGCTGAGGATGACGGAATAACTATCAAAAATGCAGATCGATCTTTTTCATATGTGGAATTTCCTACAGTATATACAAACATATAACATAACGAGTTCTCCTTTCTCTCCTACATGCAGTAAGATATCTTGATGGTTGGTGTTCTCTTTAGTGGTGTATCAACATTTCATGGATGAATCTAAATCTCTGTTACTCTTTTTCAAAGTCTATCTTTCTCTTGTATCAAGAGGAGACAACAACAAGAACGGGTAAACAGTCTTCCTCCTCAGTGGCTGTCATGGCAACATCATTATAGATAATTTAACCCAAAAACAATGCTCTCGCTTCCTCATACACGCACTCACGCGCACAGACACACTCATTAGTGATATGATACATTTTCTAAAACTTTAAACCAGACCCCTGATACAGTACGATACAATGACACATCAAAAAGGTACAGAGTGATTAGAAGAGAAGCAGTTCCTGTGGATCCTGTATACACAAAGTCAGTAGGAGACCATTTTGGTCTTAAATGTCCGTCAGTTCTTGGTAGAGTGGTAAATGTTACTGATCTGCTTCATTTTCCAAGTTCTTTTTCTCCCCACAACCACTCCTCTTCTCTGGGAGGTTTGGCCTGGGCGTGGTGTGGTTGCTAACTCTTCCCCATCTTGGCGATCAGCTCATCGCAGATCTTTGTCAACTCCTCGATCTCTTTGTTCTGTAAAATACTTGTTGCAGTTACATTTATATACTTGGGTATTTTCCTATGATTTCATATCATTTTACAGTACATCCCAGGACTGATGAATTCTGACTGACCTTTTGCTCCAAAGTGCGTTCCAGAGAGTCCACCTTCATCTGCTCCTTCCTCAGACTGGCCTGGTAGGCGGCCTGCTCCTGCTTGGCTTTGGCCCGCACCTGAGCTATGTCTGCGTTAGCCCTGGAAACACACACAAGTAATACAATGAGAATAAATCACCTCTCTGTGACCCCCATAAGCCCGGGAAGTCTTAAGAAAGCACAAGGTCACGTCTGCAAAGCCTATACAGATTAAAATCTTCAGAAATGCTGTCTGTCTACCACTCAGCCCTGAGGTTCAGAACTTGTGATCCTCATAGCACCTTACGTCCCCCGGCCACATTTTGCTGTGAACCAGGACCAGCATTGGTTTTTATTCATCCACCCTTTTAACTCTGAACCCATAATATCTTGGTCCTCGCTCACAGAACAGGTTGTTGCTCAACATTTCCTCAATCAGAACTGAACTCAGAAAGATAAAATTCCCTTATAGTCTCTTATAGTTCACCTTATACATGGAATAATCTGCAAAAGACCTTAAAAAATTATTCTTTTTCTGTCTTTGTTCATGCTCTGCATCATTTGAAAATAACGGTCTCCCTGATTCTCCAAGTCTTCAAAGGTTTCAAAGACAGCCTATATTCAAATACACCGATCAGCGAAAACATTAAAAACCATTGGTGGGTGAAGTGAATAACATTGATCATCTTGTTACAATGAAATGTTCTGCTGGAAGACCTTGGATCCTGGCATTCATGTGGATGCTACTTGACGTGCTCCACCCACCCGAAAACCATTGCAGACATAATAAACCCCCTCACGGCAACAGCACTTATAGATGGCAGTGACCCCCCAGCAGGACAATGCACCATGCCACATCACAAAAACTGCAGAGGCATGACTGGAGGAATGGGACAAAGAGCTCAAGGCGTCCACCTGATCTCCAAATACCCAGATCCCAACCTGATCGAACATTTGAGGGACATGCTGGTACCCCAGAGGTACCCCCGATCCACGGTGGGTGCTCCTTGGAATGGACTTGGCTTTGACCTATTGAGGCATGGACACAGGACCTCTGGGGGTGTCCTTTGGTGTCTTGCACCAGAGCGTTAGCTTCAGATCTTTTGAGTCCTGTGGGTTGTGAGGTGGGGTAGCTGCATGTCCCACAGATGTTTGATCAAATTCTGGGGAATTTGGAGGCTAGGTCGATGCCTTGAGCTCTTTGTCACATTCCTCTGACCATTCCTGAGCAGTTTTTGTGGTGTGGCATGGCACAAAAAACAGTCATGGTGGAATAAACTCCCGATAATGAGTCTCACTTGTCTAGTTTCTCTTCTGCATGAATCTTCAGGGCTTGATAGCGCTGTTCCTCCTTGCGCACCCTGGACAGATACTCCTGAGCGCACTTCTTCAGAACCTCTTCATTCTGAGCAAAGAGAGAAATATTTTAATTACTTGCCATAAGGTCTGCCAAACTAAATTTTAGATGACTTGCAAGGCTGGGGCATGTTGGAAACGCTCATTAGTTGTGAATAATTTGTCACCTTGCGAAAGCCCTCCAGTACGTCTTTCATCTTCTCGTAGCGTCGGAAGAGGTCGGCGAGAGACTTTTCCACGGAGTTGAGATCGGCCAGGGCCTGGTCCTTCTCCATGATCAGCTGCTGGATGGTGTGGTGAGAGAGAGACTTCTCTTTCTGGTCATCCTCTGATGGACACACACAAGTAGAGTGTATATCAGATCATCACTCTGTGTACTGAGGCGTCTGCTGTAGTGGGCTCATCTGTCACCACATATATACAAACAAACACTTTACTATATATCAACATGGATATGTGAGTTAGTATGATTTAACAGCATTTGATACACTATATGAGTATTTCTGCAGCATGCAAACAAAAACACTCAACAATGGGAAAATCAAAGAGACCTGTAATCTATAGGAATAGAGCTGGTTTGCTTTGATAGTCTTCCAGACCCTTCAGATTTAAATGACAGAGCTCCCAGCGTACTGCAGCCCCCTCCCAGCTTTCCCTTTCCTTTCCTGTCAGAAGCTTAGACGGCCAACCTGCTTAACCCACTAATTCTGCAGCAATGACTTTCGCAACCATCTACAGCACAGAAGCAAAATGCAGATGTGCATTTAAAGGTATCCAGTATGTTTATATACATCTTAAAGGTTTGTATAATGTACTTAATACCAGAAACTGGGGGATTACATGAAGTGAATGTTTACCCGTTCAAAAAAATACAGTGTTTCAACATACAGGATGAAATGCAACAAATATGGACAAACAAATGTCACTGGATGAGATGAAGAAAGTGAGCAAATCTGCTCCCCTCTCTGATAAACGGGCGGAGAGATGTCAGCAGACACAAACAAGTGAAGGACAATTCTGCGTTACTCACCTGGCATGCCTGTCAGGGTTATCAAATAGTAAGGGGAGCAAAGATGGGAGCAGAACAGAAAAGAAGGGACTGTGTTAAGTCAAGCTGGGAGGGCAAGACACGTGAGAGAGCCGAGTGTTAGACACAAGCAGAGACAGATTGTTCCTTTTTCGTGGCAGTGCTTTAATGGGATCAAGAAATGAAATTAGATAGCAGCAAAAATCAAATCTTCAGGTGGCGGAGAAGATGTAGGTGAGAGCAGGAATAATGCAGAGAGTGAACCCGCGGCGGGATTTTAATGAGTCCAGAGATGCTGGACACACGTGGGCGAAAGGTGAGCACTTCCCCCTCCGATGACATAAGAATTCACTTCATATTAATCAAACATGAAAGCAAGCACATAGCGAAGCTAGCTTGTGTCAGAGGATAAAAGAAAATACTTAACTCTCTGAAATCAGTGGCAATGGAGTAGGGGCACACAAATACAGTATATTTTGTTCAGTTGCAAATAAACAAGTGCAGCAGAAAGAAGTGGCAGAGGTTGGGGGACAAGTAATTGGTTTGAAATGAAATTCGTGTGTACTTAAAAAACAGAGTCCGCAGTAACCTGGGACCAATGCTCGGGGGTTTGTAAGCAACTGAAAACCTTTATTTAACTTTGAACTCACCTATCATTTGTGCAATCGTCTTCTCATACTCAGCAACAATCCTCCTGTGGATGAGAAGTTGGAGATCATCAGTAAATGGATGGGGTTATATGAGTATGACATTTGATTTCAAAGCACACCTTATTTTATGCAACTCATATATTGGTCTCTACCAATGAAAATAGAGGTTTTGTTTCATACTGTATGCTGCTGGGAACATTTGATCTTAAGAAGTCCAAGATGAGTGAAAAATATGCTAATCTGAAATATTTTCTTAGAATTTAAGTGGATAAAAAAACACACAACTCTTTGTCTACAACTTAAGATAATATGATTATTGAGTAATAGAAGCATTTTCACCCCCCATAACTATTTATCTGCACTATGTGTCCAGTTTCTGAGTCTCGCTGCTTGAGGCCCCCACACTCCAAGCCAAGCAGCGGCGGGGCCCAATAGGAAGCCTTGTTTTGGGTAAAGCAGGTTGCCAGAGGTAAGAGGATTGATTAGCCATGCCTGCCCTTTAGCCTCTTAGCCCCTCCTTATCCTGAGCCCAATCAGTCAAATGAAGTAAGCTCTGTTTTATCCACACAAACTGAGCTGTTGCCAGCTGGACCCCCACCCACCACCTGCTGGCAGAAAACAAGGTGTCTGTACCACATATCGCTATCTCCTTGAACCCACATTTGTCGGGCAGCAATATATCATCCACAGACGTAAATATGAGTGTGGTTAATCCCAGTTTTGAGCTGTTGTCAGGCAGTTTGTGGTGTGTAATCCAAACGACACCTAAATTTTCTCATGGATCATTTACATATAACATAACAACCACCTCTATTCCTCTCCACCACTAACACTCATGCTGATATTAAGGCTCAGATGAACTTCTTTAACTTTCACTTTAACAAGTCTGAAAACTAGACACTAATGGGTCAAATTCACAATGATATCATAGCACAAACAAGCCCGTGTAGTTTTGGATTTAAGTGCAGGTTGCCTGTTTTTTTCCACCTGATTGCAGTCATTCATGTGGCAAAGTATAAATGTTGCCTTTGCACTAAGAACACAAGGCAACAGTGGCAGAGAGAAAAAGACAAATCAAATTTTCGGACTCCATTCAAACAATATAAACCATATTTGGGATTTGATATCCCAGTCTTTCAGTGCACTTCAGTTACCATCAACTCTCTGAAGATGCTAATAATTCCTCTGTAATTGTGTGTGGCTAAGGGGGCTCAATTTTGAGCCACATGTATGCATTTTATCTAATTTAAATACATGCAAATAGCACAGCAGCACCACCCTTTCCACACACAGTTTCATTTTGTCTCATTTGTGCACCCACAAAAGCTGCACAATCGTTTTGTACGCATCGTGACCATAAGTGTGGATTTCAGGGGGGACACAGGGGACACATCCTCCCCAATATTCAAAGCATGTGCGTTTGTTCCCTTCATTAAAAACATGAAAGTAGCAGAGGACTTTTATTATGGCAAAATCAAAGCAATTAACACCATAAATTGATGCAAAAAAAGGTACAAAATGGAGCATAAAATTCACCAGAATGTTGGAAATTAAGTGTTTTATGCTCAAAATTTTCTATCAGAGGACCCCCAAACCCCCCAAGTTTCATATGTGTCCCCTCCAATTGGTAAAACTAAACCTATGCCCTTGATCATGACACAGCACCATTTAACAGAAAGACAGGGAGGTGTTAAATCCATGCTGTAGTGCATGAGTGGGACCCCACTGTGATGTCAGTGATGATAACCCAAGGTATGACTTCTTACCTCATCTCCACCACTTCCTGTCGGCTGTCTTCATACTTCCTCTGCCACTCCAGCACTTCTTTCTCCTTTGACACGATCTGTGGACGGTGACCAAACCATTCAACGTGAGATGTTAAAATGACGTATGTACAATATGTATGGCTTATAGGATAAAAAGAAACATTTTGGAGGCACCTCCTCTCGTGCTATTCCCAGGGAGTGGTCCAGTTCTCTGGGTAGGTGGGGGCTCTCCCCTTCAATGTAGTTGGTGGTGGTGTTGGTGGTGGTCCTGGCATATAGTGAGTTCTTGGACACTCCACTGTCTACTGGAGATGACAGGTCTCGGTGCTGCGTCCAGGAACCAAAGGAGAGGTGGGAGAGGAAAGGAAACATAACCAGTTACGAACCAGACTGAGCTACAGATGGGACGCCCTCACCCTCGAGCCCACAACCAAACCGCAAGGCAGCATCAAACTACATTAAAATGTACCACACAGCAAAATCAATGTGTAAATGAGGCAGGCTTATGATGTTCCTGAAGACTTGGTCAGCCGCCATATGATTGGATGAAACAGTCTTCATTGCCACAGTATTAGCCAAATTTGGCTGATGCTGCCCCCAGCTGAGCGGTCATGATCACCTGCTCATCGCAGTAGCTTGAATGTGATTGGGTCCAGGCAAGGCACACAGGAAGGAGGGCAGCAGTTGATACAGCAAGGACTGCATCATACAGGAGAGGGGGATAGGGTAGCGGACTGGGCAGCATGGGAAATAGATGTTAGTCTCGTGTTAAAGCATATTACAGCATAGTGGTCTTACCTGTTGTGGCTAGAGTCACCTGTTACAGCATTTGCCCATTTCTTTTACAAGTACAAAAAATAAGATGTGAGGTGAACCATAAAACTCACAGGATTCATCATTAGAAAGAGTCTGACTTTGGATATAGTGCTGAGGTGTACTCAAAGAGACACTGCAAACCCAAGTATATGGGCTTGTATTCATGTAACCATTGTAACTTAAGACAATACTCTTCCACCTACAACTCCTCACACAGACCATCATATCAAAATGCAAAAACAATCCTCGTTCTCGTACCATTTTTGGTCCCCTAAAACTCTGCTCTGAAAGGGATTTAGTCATCCTTGGGCGATTAGGGGAGGATTTGATGAAATGGTGGGGGCTCACAGGGGACACGGAGACTGAGATCCACTAATACGCGGAAAAGAGAGTGAAGTGTTTGGTCTGGCTGGAGCAGTAATTCCATTATTTCGCTGAAGGTAAAGACCAGTCAAGTTTAGGTAACCATGGACCTCTTTTGCTTTTAGTCAGGTACTGATTAAGCTTTCCTTCCCACTGAAGTAAAGTAAACAGAAAGCTTAAGCAGAGAAACCCAAAGCTCTCTGTGGGGGTGGTATGACTCATTGTAACTTATTAAAAAGCTCTGTTTACAGAGACCTAAAAAAATCCACATTAAATGTCAGTACTGTAAATTGGAATAAAGTATTATAAAGCAACGTGAGCTCTACTTAATATATTCCTTGAGTGTATGATTGCTGCTGCTTTTAGGAGCTAGGGGTAAAAACAAGCTGGGAGCCCCTATTGAACACAACCCAAACTGACAAAAGTCCCAGAAACCAACCAATATTTCTACACTGGAATACTATCCTACCCGAGGTTTGCTGCATGTCTGTATGCTTTATGTAATAATAATTTGATGAAATGCAAGGCCCCTCTCTGATACTCAGAGCAGCGAACAACTATTTGCTATGTAATGATATAGTGGAGTAATGGCTCCCTCTCTGTGTTGTTGTCATTCAAGCTTCTCTATTTGTTAGTGCATGTGAGTCCCTGTCAATGTGTCCCACTGGGTAGCTATTCATTGGCTCTCTGCACTGCGCTCATATGGCAGATACTGCTGATATTGAAATGGCAGTATTGTGGAAGTGCAATGCCCACCGTCAGTTTAACACTGTTAGCTCTGTCAGCACTGTTGCTTTTGTTAGCACTGTTTTCCCTATAAGAACCATTAGCTGCTAGCCACTAGCTCAGCCGTCTCCATGATGAAAGCTATGTGCAGACAACCTCCTGTACCATCGTACAAAGCTCCTTTAAGTCAGGGCTTCAATCGGGTAAAAATGCACAAGCTACATTTGGGCACAATTTGAAATTGTGCTTTAGTGGTGCATATTACCAAACAATTTTGTAATACATTAAATGACCACAAAGTAATCACCTTACAAACAACCTGGGGCCTCAGGGCAGGTACCCGCTTTGCCCTGTTGGTAATTCAGTCTTACAGAAAAGCACCTTTACCAGATCATCCTAGATCACAAGTCAAGTAAACTGCAAACATTGTAGTGTCTCTTGTAGGAGTGCTGTTGGCAAAAATCACTTACTGTAGACTTGAGGAAAAACGACTTAATGTGAACAAAAAATGGACAACTGAAGACACGAGTTGATGCCACAAAACAAACACTATGTCAAACACGAAAAAGACTACAAGAGAGATGCTAGATATAACTGCAGAACACACAAATTTGCTGACAGGGACAAAGTTCAGCTATGGTAGGTTACAATGTAGGGAGACCTTAAAAAAAGGTCTAAGACTGGGGTCTACAGCAGTTAGAATATACAATGCAGTCAGTAGGTATTAGGACAATTGTTTTGGCTCTGTACTCCAGCACTAAGAGGGCAAACTGATGCATTCCAGCTTTAAATAAAGGGCATTTAAATCCAGATTGGATAAACAACGTAGGATTTGCTGCACTCTACAAAAATTGGGAGTAGTTTGTATTAAAGGGCTGTGATTCATACACTCTTAACCAATGTAGATGTGAACACCTTCCACACTGTAAACAGTATCGCCAGCGAAAATTAAATTGAAATCCAACCTCAGATTCACATTTTGAAATGAACTTTGTCCACTTGGAGTTTGCCTTTTTGCATTTTTTTGGCACAGTGTCTACAGTTTTAGTACCATACGCTTAGATGTGTGCCACCTACAGTCTGGCACCTGGATGCTACTGCCAGCTGTGCCCAGGAACTTCCAGAACATAGCAAAGTAAGAAGTAAATAAGAAAATACTGGCACAGGGCAGAGTCTCTGCAGGTAGATACACCTCCACATACCTCTAGTGGGTCACACTTCTTCTTCTTCTAGTGGGTCGTAAGTGATGATTTGTATACATTTTCTTTCCCTAGCAAAATCCTGCATGGTCTTCCTTTGATCCCAGAGTTATTTCAAATCTCTTGTGTTGGTGCACTGAGCCAAAAACAATGAAAAAGTGTGTTTATGACCAAATACTTGGACTGCGCTGTCGCTGGACTAAGACGAGGACAGATCACAGGGGTATAAAGTTACTCTTACTTTAAGTAAGGGGGAACCGTTGATATTCCATCGCCGAGTGCTGGGTTTCTTGAGTCGAGACTGTAAAATGTGTGGGACAACGGCATGAGACATGAGGGGGAAGAGGACCAGGAAGCGAGAGAGTTTTTCCACTGACCAAAAAATGTCATAATATATCACTGTTTTTATATCTAACCATGTGCTGTTTCAGCACAAGCCCTCCAGCTACTGAAATCTTCATGTTCTAGCTAAAAGTCCAGCCAAACTGAATACTGACACCTACCTGATGTAACTGTTTGTTAGTGCTGTTAGTCTGGGGAAAGGACCAAATCACAAAACAAGAATGTGACTGGGATCTGGGGCAATGATAGCAAAGCATCACCAAATACATCTGGGTGAGTTATATCCATATAACTCCTCAGCTGCTGATATTCAGTCTGGTGCGAGACATTCCCAGTCACATTCATGCTCATGTAAGCCTCTCATGAACAGGCAACATGCATGTTGCCCAACATGCATAGTAAAGGCAAGGGACTAAGAAGGCACAGCACTCTGTCCCTGAGGAGACAACCTGGAAGAGCTCGCTGCTAGTCAGGGGTGGGAGCTGGACGTGTTAAGCCATGTTAGAGATTTCACATGTGGGGGACTGAGGAGGACTGCGGATGTAGTGGTGCAGCCACCATGTTGATAAGGCCATGAGTTCACAGTCACACTCAGTATGGTGTGTTTAGGGGGAGGGATAGGCAGGCTGAGACACACTCATGCACGCACACTACAGCTGCGCACACGTGCATCTCACACACACCTGCTGTCCCGTAATCACTCATTCATAATGCATCTTTTCTCTCCCTCACACACAAATCCACACACACTTGCATACAGCAGGTGCAGGACTCAGCGCAGTACCTGGGGGGATACAGTGGAGAGGGAGGGGCACTGAGAGATGTTTTTGGCTACCTGCAGAGCCTCTATCCTCAGGGCAGCAAGCACCAGCTCCTCCTGGGCCGCACACATGAGGGGGTGGGGGTGGGGATTGATGGATTTCGGGGGTAAGGAAGGGGGAGTTGCGGCCCAAGGATGAGAGAGCAAAGGGAAAACATATAGAAACTTGAGTTGAGCGCACACACTTTCTACTGTCTACATTTCACACCCCATCACTCACAAACAGTAAGCTAAAAACTGCAGCTGAGACAGAGGAGATGAAAACAATGAGAAAATGAAAAGGCAGGATGTTGTAAGGTGGCACAATGACAATAACACACACATATCAGGGTCACAAATGGGCCACCAGAGGCTACACCTATCAAGTTTATCAAGAGGGGTCATGTGTGGTCTGTCAACACACCTGTAGTTTTTGGGCGAATGCTGTTGGGTTGGTCTCAGCCAGGTCAGGCTCCAGGTACTGCAGGAGGTCGTCACACTCAGACAGCCTGTCTAACAGGGGCAGGGCCAGGACTGGAGCAGGGGCCTCCACAGGGCCCTCACTAGGGGGCTATAGGGGCACCAGGAGTAGGCAGAGGGTAGGGAGGAGGGCAGGGGTCAGCATGGCAAAGCAAAGCGCTGAGTGTTTGAGTGGCAGCAGTGGGAGCTGAGTCACTGAGGTCAAGCTGGGAAGCTAGTGTGGCCGACTGGCTATGTGTTACCATCAGTGACAAGGCTTTAATGAGAATCACTTTGACTGATGGAGCTCATGTTTGAGGGCCCAGTCCCGGTCTACCATAAAGCATGTGCAGTGTGGCACTCTCCCTCTTGTGACTAAACAATGACATGGTGTAAATGTTACAAAATCAAAATCGACAGATTCCTCTTACATGACGGTGACAAGACAGAAATGACACTGCTTACTGACTTTGAATCTTTACAGAAAAGCACCTGGCTCACCTGCTCGTCCCTCTCTGTGCTCTGCGTTCTGCTGAGTGCTTCACTTTCCCTCTTCCTGCCCTTGTCCCCAGCAGAGCCCTCGGGACCGGGCCGGGAGCTCAGCACCGGTGTCTTCATACCCGCTGTTATCTGGGCCTCCATCTCCTCAAAACTCCTGCACAGAGTGAGGGAAAGAGGGAGACAGAGAGACATGGCATGTAATGAACTGAATATGATAGATGAGTGTTAATGAAAAACATTTCTGGAGCAGCTGAATTGCATGCATGCCTTATGCAATCCAAATCATCCTGGTATACAATTAGCAAATTAAATACACCAGTAAAGCACAGACGAACGCACTGTAAGAATTCCAACAGTACACAGTGAAATATTGCAAAGTAGCGACACATATCACAGACAGAAACATGCAGCAGAGTAGTAGTAGAGTGTGTTGTACCCTGTGCAGGGGGAGCTGGGCTCAGATCCATGTGCACACGTATTCTTGGTTAAGCTGTCAGATACAGAGTCTAACTTAAGGTACAAGGACGGCTTCTTCACAGACAGTGGCTGCAAGACACAAAAGAATAAGTCTGAATTCTAAGTTTAAATAAAACATCAAAATATAAAATGGACCAGCATAAATAAATAAATAAAGCAGCAAACATTTGATAAATTCTTTAAATAACATCAGATACTCACAGGCGAAGCGGAGCCAAGCTTCTCCATGTACTCAATTTCATAGTCTTGAGCTGATACAGAGAGACAAAAAAAAGTTTTAGATGCAATAAAAGAAATGGAGAGACATTTGTAGCCAGTGTGCAGCTCTGGACCGATGGGATCAGAAGCAGAGGCAGGGCTGACTGTTTGTTATTTCATCTCTGACCTAGATGGGCTGTGCCACAGGGAAGAGATGGCTCTTCCTCTTCTGGAGGTCAGAGGGCACTAGAGAACTGGGCCAGCTGGCTTATTTCACCGCCACAACAAAAATCAATAATGTTGCTGGATGAATGAAGAGTAAAGTGGCTGGTTGCTGTACAGTACATAATTTATCCAAACATAAGCTTTGAATTTCCTTTTGAGCACCGCCTGTCTGCAGTATGCTTTGATCTCTGTCATTTATTTGGACACAGGTGGCTGCTGGAGGCACAAAGAGGGATCCAAGAGAGGCAGACAGCTAAGCCTCACCTGGAGCCTGATGAGGAAGACTGTTCTCGTTAACAAAGGATGTAAGGTCACACGGCTGTGGGAAGTCTTGTTGGTCGGAGTTTAAATCTGCATCCATGCTGTGCAGGGCTGCCCACTTGTGACTGGTGGAGGAGGCCAGCTTCTCCTCGTCTGTGGCGTGGTCGTCCTGTTGGTGAAGGGAGGGGGTTTCATCTGCAGGCGTAGGATCCTGAAATACAAAGGAGTTGGTGGTGATAGAGTCAGAGGGAAGAGGGAGAAATACAGGCAGACAGTACAGATATGAAGAATTAAAACGCACCTCGGATGGGTCAGACATTGGGGATTTCTTTGGCGACCTCTTCACTCTGAAAGTATTACTGAGAAAAAGAAAAACAATCATCAAGATCCAGCATCTCTCAGCACCTTCAGTCAATGACTCTTTATTAGATCCAACAGTCCTTGTCTGACACCAAGTATTGTATTTGCTACGTATTTCAGACGTGTGCATAATCACAAATCCTAAAATGTAAAACTGCTTGGGTATGTCTGCTTTTGCAAAAACTTACATCATAATTTGCGTAGAGTAGGATTACCATATGTGTAACAGTACCTCTTACTGTAGACTATGTGTGGCTGAAATAAACAGAACAGTGAAATGTTTGTGAAGAGGGTTGACTCTATAGTTAGTAACTGCACAGTGAGGAGCAGAGGTTAGTGAGTGTTATGTTGTGAAGAGTTTACTTTCACACAAATCGATCCTGGCATGTATTTGGTAATGCAGCAGGTTAGTTCGGACATTGATGCAAACATAATCGATTACTGCAGATTTACTGTTAGTGTAGGGTTTTTACTTTTGTTACCCCAGTTTTCAATTTATAGATACCATCAAACATAGATTCTCCAAGAGTCTGTAAAAGACTGGAAGTCCTTGGATGGTAATTACAACGACTATCAACATACAACCATCCTCTAAATTTAATTCAAAAGACATATGATAAATCTGAGCTGGAAATTTCTGCAACCTTGTCACAAATTCACATTTTTAAGCCTGATGTTTTATGGTTATAATCCTTAACTGGACTCATTAAGACATGAATATAAATGGGACAATAACCCCCCAAAGCTATATGTATCTATGAAAGTATTATCATTAATATATAGTTAGCTTTTTCAACAATAGCCAGCAATGAACACAAGAGGGAGCACAAGCACCTCCTTCATTACACACTGATGGGACACACAGCTTCAGCAGAAAAAGAAATAGAACATTTTTTACACTTTTGTTTTGGAAAAGGTGCTGATAGACAACAATTAAATGAAATCTGAAATGTTTTAAAGAGGCAGCAATATTGAAGTTTTTACTGGACTTAATTATTTGTAACCCACACAAGACAATGTACAAATGTGTAGTGTACAATGATCCACAAATATTTCACTATCCACAAAAATGTATTTTACATTTGTGTTGAGTAAGGTCATCTCCACAATAATGCACATAACATAACACATACTTTGATTTCACATAAAAATGTTACAGGTTTTGCAAACTGTTTCACCATAGCAAATAAATGTGCAGTTTTATTTACCCATATGTGGATCCATTTTTACATGTTAAATCCACAAATGTGAAGAATTGTCATTGTAAAGCTTGTGAAATAGTGAAGTATTGTATGGGTTGCAAATAATGTCCAATAAAAACTTGGCAAAGAAGGGAGCCAGAGCTGTAATCTCTGTGAGGGGCCCAGTGTGTCCCAGCACGATAAGACTGGTCTGCCTGGAGATGCATCTGGACCAGTCACAGGGAACCAAGATCATAGTGACAGACAGAAATAATATTTCATTATTTTGTATTTGTTTCACCTGTCATGTCATTCTCTGGATCATGTGATGGCCTCCTATTGGCTCCTGCTACTAGCCTATGTAGGCAGGGCAGTATGTTTTTAAAGCCCTGAGGAAGACCTGCAGTGGCTGAAACATGTTTGTACTTTTAATGATTTAGCCACTAAAATAAAGGCTTCTAAAAATTTCCTTCCCTGTTTTCTACATTTTTTGGAGTTCCTGGATTGCCTTCCTGTGTATCACGTTGTTTCCTGTTCTCCATGAGCACCCAACACAAGGTTTTCATCACACTTTTTTCTAACCCTCAAGAATTATTTTGATGTCATATTTTTACTTCATCAGGTTTGACCTAAATTAAGATTACTTGATATCATCATCTCCATCCCTGATGTTTCTATGGTCAATGTCACGTTTTCAGTTATTTTGTCATTGGTATCATTCTCACCTTCACATTCACCATTTTGTCATAATATTATTTCTGTGATTTTCTTGGCCCCTTTGAACCCAAGGCAGAGTGCAAACTATGTTCACTGCAGTTTGCCTTGGATTTTGTGGTTACTGTGATATTTACACCCTATATTCTCTAGAACAGAATAAGATTGAGCCAGAAAATTATTTTTAAAAAAAACAGAATAGATATCTCAGTCATAACTCAATGTTGACTGTAATTGTAGTTACTGTGGTTCGCCTCTGTGGGGCAGAATTGGACTGTGATATTTTTCAGTTGGCACTGTCATAGATGGGATTGTACCATACATAATACAGGATTGAAAACAAAACTGAAAACAGGTCCCTCCTGTTAAAATGGGCAGGAATACAAAGTTTAGATGGATTGTTTGACAGTGGGCACAATGACCTGTGATGACTCTGTTAACATAGAGGGACGACAGGGCAACATGCTGCCTTAAAATAAGCCACATGGAATTAAGGGTCACAATGGGATGGATGGCTGTGTTGTCCCTGTACTTACAACAGACAACATAGAGAAGACACACCCCTGGACTTCCTGTGACATATGAGAATACACAGACACAGGTGACAGAGAGACAGACAGAGCACACTGGCATAATAGACAAGAGACCGTACAAACACAGACAAACCTCACAGACAGAGACGCAGACATTCCTACACACGAACACACTGTTCTCTAAAAGTGAGTGTGGTCTCTTCCACAAATGTTCGGTGATAATAAACTGTAAACTTACGATTTAATGGGTGTTTTCTTCTTCTTGGCCGGTTTGTTTTGATTTTGGTCCTCCAGTTCCCCGATGTTATCATTGTCATTTTCATTCTCATAGTCATTGGACGACAGTTCAAAGGAGGCAGAGGCCTTTGGAGGGGAGTTGGCCATCTTATTGGAGGATTTGAAAGGGTCTACGCAGTCATCAAAGTTATTAGTGTCAAACGAATAAGACGGCCTGGACAGTTTGGGGGAGTTGGAGATGCCTTTCTTAGAAGAAAATGGATTGAAGTTCGGATCATCCCACTTGTCAGGTTCAAAATTGTAAGAAACTGCAGGGACAGGGATGTCATCCTCGTTGCCGTTGTGGGTTGCTGGAGGATTGTTGTCCAGCTGCTCCGTCTGCACTGGAGGGGCCTTTTTCAGCCCAAGCTTTGGTTTCCTCAGAGGCATCTTGGCACCGGGCTTCTTGCCCACTTTCTTAGGTGGGGGAGAGGCCTGGTGTGGTGCCTCGCTGCCCTCCTCAGAGTAGTCAAACTCCAGCCTTACTGACTGACGCTTAGGAATGATAGGTTGTTCTTCAGGATTGGTGATTGGCTTTTCAGGAAGAGCTGGGAGACACGGCTCCACAGCAGGGACAGGGGGGCTTTCTGGAGGGCTGGCGATGGGAGCACCCACAGGACCTTTACGACCAATAACAGGAGAATTGGCAATTTTACTACCTCCAGTCTTGAAAGGGTCGATGTTCTCAAAATTATCTGGATCCCATTTGTAGGAGGTAGGAGGGGGGATGGGGGATTTGTCTCCGCCTGTTGGACTACTAGAGAGAGGGGTCTCCTCCTGGCACAAGGGTAAGGCAGGGATGACAAGGCTCTCCTCTTGGGTGGTATGATTGGTCTCCTCTGGCAGAGGAGGAGGAGTCACCACACGGCTCTTCCTGGTCCTGCGAAGGGTTCCTCCTGGGCTCGGGGTCGCAGATCCTCCCTCTGCTTCCTCCTGAGCCTGGAGAGGGCTGGCAGTTCGAGGCTTCGCCCGCTTTTTGGTCTCCGGGGTGCTGCTGGATGAAGCTGGCTTTGCACTCTCTGGGTTCGAGTTCTGCCTGAGAAGGGGCTTCTTCTTCAAAGACCCAGGACGGACTTTCTTGGGCCTGTGGAGCGTCCCTGGGGCGCTCTCAGTGCCTACACTGAAGGATTCAGAATGTGGACGGAAGCCTCCCGCCGTTGATCCGTCCAACAGACCAGAACTGTCTAGTGCTCCTCCCTGGAAGCTGAGTGAACGAGTAAGGGTGTGACTTGTTGAATCTCCAGCCAAAGATTCAATGTTGTATTGGCCACTGGCTGCAATGGGCCGGTTCTCATCAAAAACAGGGGATGGGGAACGGCATGGTGCATTAGCTGAAGTCAATTCAGAGGCAGGAACATTGTCGGAGGTGTCTGCTACTGCAAAAGATGGAGAGACATAAAATGAAGAGGCTTTAGCTGCTAAAATCAAAATGAAATGAAATTGGGATCATATATATTTAAACTGGTTTGTGGCGGAGATGCAGGTGTTATCAAGGAAGCCTGCATGGAGATAAAAGCTGCTGCTGGCTTCTGACACATCCAATTATAGAGATGAATGTGCTATAAATAATTCAATAAGAATCTGTCAGTTGGACAGAAAGTCATGAAAAATAACCACATGAGAGAACCGATTGGTCAGCCTTTCCTATATATCCAAAAGCCTCGGTGCTGTGCAGTGGAGGTGCTTGTCTCAGCAAACAAAGCAGATAAAAAATACTGCTTTATTCCACTAGATGGTGCAACAACACTTTCTTACACCTGCTTTGTTACAGTGGTGTTACAGAACATGATACTATGAAAGAGCTACGCACACATCATGGCATCATTTTCTTACTGTACCTTTGTCATCAGATGTTAGTTGCTGGGTTGGAGGATCTACAGGAGAAACAGCCTTCACTGGAGTTGTGGATTCAGGGGTCTCGAACGCTCCATCAGAGTCTGAGCTCCTATAACAAAAGATGAGCATACATCAGATTGATATCTCTTGAACTATAATGACTCAAGCGACTATACTGGGATCACTGACGTCATGTGAGGATGAGCTTAACTTCTACTCCGTCAGACACAGGACTTCACCATGATCTATTTCCCAAGACAGCAGTTTAGATATTATTCTTCAGTGCAATATATAGTGTAAATATGTTACCACACCAGCTGTGTTTAAGGTCAGAAGGGCAGCAAATGCTATTTCCTGTAGTGTGTATGTCTTTCAAAAAAGGCCCAAGGTTAGCATGTATTTCTGTTTTCATTACATGTAGTCTTTTATGGCCACATATTAAAACGCTGAATCTGCAGTGAGGTGACACATAATGACACATCTGAGACACAGGATTACCTGCAACTCAGCACACACATGCAACACCGTACACACACACAAGACCACCTCAAGAGATCTAAAGATATCACCACTATGAAACAGGGAGGTACCAAGGAGAACACTGAGCCGAAAACAGAAAAATGGCCAATTTCTGCATGACAATAACAGGCAGTTAATAAAAACCACAGTGTTATCATCCTGAGCAAAAGCCATATTGATTGGTTTTCCTCAGCACCGGACACATACACATACATCGCAAAGCTCATCAGACAACCTGACTACAAATGTCCATGGTCCATTAATCACAGTATTATCTGACAATGTGAGGCAGCAGCCTCCCGTACTGTCTCACCTCTGTCTGACCGGCTCCCCGGCAGCACTGATCATGTTGTCATGACGTGAGCCCCAGGAGAGGCTCCGGAGGAGCCCAAGAGCCGGATCCGAGCCCGGGCTGTCTCCATCTCCTGCCCCTCCTAGCAGTGTATCCCAGCCCCAGCGAGCCCACTGCAGTGGAGACAGAGCCTGCCACGTACTCACTGCCATGGCTGCCGGCGGGCTACACCTCTCCGCAGCACAGTGCCTGACACAGGTGGACGCTCACCGCCTCTTCCTCAGATGATGACCAAAACCACCAGATCCAACCTCTCCTCTGCCTTCTCTCTTTTTCTCTATAGTCTAATGTCTCTTTGTTTTTGATCTAAAATCTCAGTCCTACTTAACGTTGCTCTTCTTTGTCATCTATAGCCACATCAGCCTGTCTCCACTGCTCCCCAGGAGGAGATGATGCCTCCCAATCTAAATGAGACTGGCTGCAGAAGCCCACCGCCTGCATACAGTATATTCTGGTCCTCTCTCTCTCCCTCGTCTCTCCCAGCCTTCCTCTCTCTACCGTCCTCCCTCCCTCTGCCCCTCTCTCTCCTGCTCCTGAACCATGTTGCTGAATACACACAGAATAAAAGGCAGCCCATAGCCTACCAACAAAACCTGCTATGATAAAGCTTGCTCCTTACATGTACCACCACTGCATCTGATATATATTTCCTGACCCTTATCTCTACTGTAGTGTCATTTTCTGCCTAAATTAATGAGAACATTTACACATCTTTTGGTCACTGCAAAGACACACCCAGATTTTGCTCTACTAACCCAGGTCATTTTCACACACACACACACACACACACACACACACACACACACACACACACACACACACACACACTGAAACTGAAGAAACATCTTCTGGTAACTACTAATGCCTTTAAAGATATTATTGTGTGCAGATGCAGGAAACAGCTTCTCTAACACATCCTCGGACAGGACAACGAAATGAGTCCTTTGCATTGAACAATATAAAATGGTAATAAAGAATGCAATGCCTAGAGTAAATAGTGACATTATTATTTTCTTTTTAATATATATATATGGTTATTGCTTTTTTAGAGCATAGAAAAAACCTAGGAAAAACAAAGCCAACAGGCATAGCACATTATATGCAAAAGTGGCCACAGACAGTGATTAGTACAAAGTAGTAGGAGTAAAAATTACATATACAGAGAAGGAAAAATAAACACAGCAAGGTGCTTCATCTAAAAAAATATTATTACATTGGCCTTCACTCTGAAAGAATTTAAGCACAGGGTCCCAAATCCTATCGAACTCAACACCTCTATCCTCGCTATAGAATCTCACCATTTTATTTAACCATAAATCATATGTAGGAACAGAGTCCATCTTCCACACTTGTAAAATGAACTTCTTTGCAATCACCATTCCAAATAAAACAGCCATTTTTGGCATTTGCTAGCAGAGGATATGGAGCTATGAGTGGATCAGGTTACCAAGATTTCCCAAAAGCCTCAGAGAAACATTGAAAAGTGTTCTTCCGATATGTATACAATTTACAGCATGACCAGAAAGCATGTGCTAAATTGCTGATTGTAGATTTACAGTGAGTCTATGTAAAGTTTGAACCGTAAAAGACTAAGTCTGACATTCACTGAACAGTTGTGTATAGTCCTTAAACATTCATCTCAGACTTCATCTGTAAGTTCTATATTCAGTTTGTCTACCCATGCCTGTTTGATTTCTACAGTGTCAAACACGGTGACATTATAGTGGACCCCCCCTATCTCTCTAACACACAAATACAAGAGCATATATGGGAAAGTCTATACACTATATTGATCTAGCTCATCTACAGGGCTTCACCTTGAGGCATTTTTGAAGCCATTCAGCATCCCATGGGGGTCTTTTGTCACATACAGACACAAAGATGGGAATAAAAGGCTGTAGTATGAAAGACACCATCTAGTCGTCAATATGGTCAATATGGCCGATGCAACAAAAAATTCAGAGCTGAGACTTTAGTGTTTTATAGAGGAGGCTTTTGCTGTCATGGTCAATATGTCCACTACCCCCTGGGGTCACATCACAGCAGAGATGGAGGGTCTTCTACAACAACAATATGGCAGTAAGTTACTTGCTCTGCAATGTGCTCAAGCTACACAAAAGCGTACACTGCATGTTAAGGGTATAAACTGATAAGTGGTGCCTGTTTATTACATTTTTATATATTAGCTGATACTTTCTCAGATCAATAGCCTTAAAAACACCTCCATTACTTTCAGGGGGGTGGGATCAAAAAGGAGACAACACATGGCAAAGAAGGGAGCCAGAGCTGTAATCTCTGTGAGGGGCCCAGTGTGTCCCAGCAGGATAAGACTGGTCTGCCTGGAGATCCATCTGGATCAGTCACTGGGAACCAGGATCATAGTGTCAGATGGTCTGACAGGCAGTGACACAGACAAGACCTACTTACAGACTGTAATATGCAAAGACCAGCAAAGCAAGCACCAAAGGAATCAATCTATTAGGAGCTATAACAGATGCAGCTCTCTGGAGATTTTGTTTTGAAGTGTAGCATTAAAATTAGCGCTTCAAATCTGCTTCTTCGAGGATGGATGGAAATAAAACTGAGAACAGTGACACACTGAGGTAATTAGGGCTTATTTCGGCGCTCCGCTTACGTACCTGCAGAGGACATTTTTCATGTGACTGCAAACACAGCATTGCTATGGCAACAGGAGATTGCTCCCGCCATATGTTCCACGTTGGAAGAAAACACGTTGGATGCACACAGTCCAACACAGGCGCACACAGCTGAGGCTTCCTGAACCAATGAGGTCCTCTGGTGAGTTTTATATGATATAGAGGACAAAAAAAGGCACACTGCAGATTTATGAGGAAAGCTGCTCTTGCATCAGCATTATTCTGTTCACAACCTATGAACTGGTTTAACTGAAAAAGGGGAAACAGCATATTTTTTATATATATATAATCCTCACATGATTATTATTGGTACTCTTTATTTCAATTTAAACAGATAGCATCTAATAGAAGTGAAATCATACACTGTAAGGAGTGTTTTAATGAAAGAAACGAATAAGGTGAATAAAAATCAATCTGGGAATGCCTTCTGTGTTAATGCAGTAGTGTTTTCTGCAGCACTTATGCGAGACCTGGGTGCAGACAAAACATAGAAAGAGGAAAAGCAGCGTGTGGGCGAGCAGTCAGGGTATAGGGGCGTATAGAAACAAAGAGAGCAGCAGTTAATAGCAGCCTCTCAAAGGCTGAGATGACTGCCTGGAGACAGAGACTCTGCAGCGTGAGGCAGGGAGACGCTGCATTTCAGATAATCAGACGTGTCTCTGCTTAAAGCCAAATCCAACTCCGCCGCTTTAACAGCTTTCACAGTGCCGGAGGGAGAGCCATCACCAGCCCCTGGGAAGAGGGGGAAACTGGGCTGCACCGACATGTACACCCAGCACCACCTGTCTGTCCTATTGATACACATTCTTCCAAAAAAAATGTGATGTTGGAATTGCAAATGAAGCTCTTATCTGCTCAGAAACAGTTTGATGACAATTTAATAGTGATTCAACTGTGATTACATGAAAGCTGATGGGAGGACAATGAAGAAGGGATGGATGAATGGAAGGCAGGCTGCTGGTGTCCAAGCAGCTGCGTGATTAGCCTCAATGGATTAGCTGCCGAATGCTCCCTCCACCGTCTCTCGGCTGTCAAACACCTCTAAACCCTCTCTGTCTGGACTTCATCTATCTCGATCTATTTCACTCCATCTGTACCTTTAATTCTCCCTCTCTCCCTCACCCCTTGCTTCATCACTACAATTCATCATCCCTTTGTTATCTTCTCATTTGGCAATGCCTTGCCTCTCAGGTGTTTTGAAGCTTTCAGCATCAGGTTGATTTCTGATCTGCTGTTTAGGGCATTAAAGAATCCACTGTAAATCTGTGTCACATGCATTGCACTATCAAATGTCAATGATTTAACTGAACAGAAACACTGTGAACAATAGGAAGTAAATATTTTAAAGCGTGTACTTGGACAGTGTGATAATGAATATCTGCTCTGTTCTGTGTTGTGAAAAGATGGAAGATAGTAAAATCATATAAAAATAAAAGACAGAGTTGTACTATGAGTCTATCCCTCATTACACTCTACACAGTCTGTGGTTTCTCCTCTGAGGTAGACATAAAGACACCAACAGAGGGAGCTCCTGTGCTTTTATCCTCCTGATGAATGAGCGTCGGGATACTACAATATTAC